GACATTTGACACCATATCCTCCAAAGTTTTATAATCATCTCTATTCTGATAATTTACATTCTAGACCACATATGAGAGAACAGAAATGTTTAATAAACTAATTAGCTACTTAAAACTTAAAAACATATTTGTTATTTTTTAAGGAAATGGAAAAATGTAGAGATTTAAATATTCTAAAAAAATTTACAGAACCATTTCACCCACTATATTTTTTTTGCATGTAAGTGCATACTTAAACCATTAGATAAGTATATGAGGGAAGAAACACTTTTCTCCTAGAGATCAGGATCAACCACAGAGTCAATGGAAAATCAATAACTTGAGAGACTTAAGACAGAATTGGTTGAAATCTGTCATTTGGCATTAAACAGTAAAATCTAAAGCCCATTTCAAAGATAGACTAAATTCCCAGCCAGAAAGTAATTGCTGTTCCTTGTCCTCTGTGTATATATCATGAATACAGCTAAGAAAGAACTGCAGTCAGGCCTGGACCACCACCAAGCAATTGATTATTAGCCATTAAAAGAGGAATGTTTACTTTTTCATGGCAACTAGTTTTCCGAAGGAAAAGCAAAGAGGTCTACTCTAAATGCTGTCTTTTCTTCCCATCCTATGACCAATCAAGATCATCTACTTCTTGGAAGTGTCAAAAGCCCATTTTTATTTTCTTTTCCCTATTTTAACCAGAATACTGATGAAGAAGAGAGAGCAGTTGCTATGAGGCAAAGAAAAATGCCCTGGCAGTTGAGAGTCCTCCATCTATCAAGGGGAATTTGCAATGTTGCCTCTCTTCAATACTGTATAGATTTGCGGGATTTTGTGCAACACTTAACCAAAATGGAAGGATTTAAGAACAGAATGCAATATATAGACACGATCTTTTACTTTAGTTTTATTTTGGAATTTACTAGTCTTAAATTCTTCAGCATGCTGCTGTGATAATCATCTCTGGATAATACTTTGGAAAGGCAGATTAATGAAGACAGCTTAAATATATACACCATATCATAGATTTCTTAAGATTCACAACTCTTACTGAATTCAGATGTGCTATACCCACGTATGAGCTAATTAAGTAAGGATATGTTGAGTTATAAAGTAATGTTAAGTGTCTGCAACACCAAGCAACATTTGAAAATCTGGAAAGAATGTCCAGGGAGCTATTAACTTGTGACTCCAAGCATCTTTTGTGAGTAGGAGAGCATTTACACATATGTGGTTTCTATATTTTTTTCAGAAAAACTGACAATTAGCTAAGCGCAGATGGTTCATGTCTATAATCCTTACTACTCAGTCTGAGATCTGAGGATCATGGTTTGAAGCCAGCCTGGGCAGGAAAGTCTGTGAAACTCTTATCTCCAATAAACTACTGGGAAAAAGCCAGAAATGGTGCTGTGGCTCAAGTGGTAGAGCACTAGCCTTGAGTACAAAGAGGCTCAGAGACAGCACACAGCCCTTGAATTTAAGCCTCAGGACTGGCAAAACAAACAACAGCAAAAACAAAAACAAGTATCTTCACCATCTTTTTTTTTCCCTACTGATTCAGTATCAAAATAAATTTCTAGCTCTGTGCAGGTTCACACCTATAATCCTAAATATTCAGTTGTCTGGGATCTGAGGATCAGGGTTCAAAGCCAGTCCAAGCAGGAAATTCCATAAGACCCTTATCTCCAATTAACCAGAAAAAGAGAAGCAGAGCTACAATTCAAGTAAGTGGTAGAGTGCCAGCCTTGAGTAAAAGTGGCTAAGGGACAGTACCCAGGCTCTGAGTTTAAGCCCCAGTACTGGCACATACACACATGATCTCTCTCTCTCTGTCTGTCTCTCTGTGTCTCTGTCTGTGTCTCTGTCTGTCTCTGTCTCTGTCTCTCTCTCTGTCTGTCTGTCTGTCTCTCTCTCTCTCTGTCCTGTTAAAAGTTTCTGAGTTTGTGGATGTGAGGAGACAATAAAGACAGCATCTTTCCCTAATGATTCTGGGTTCTCTCCACCTTCATTTCCTCAGAAGGCACAGTCCATCTGGATCAGCCTCCTGGAGTCGTTACATTCCAACTCTTGAAGAGAATTTATATTAAATCCCAGAACAGAAATAGGAAGAATTTGGGCTATTAGCATGGTACTTGAAGAAGGGGAGTGAGCCAGGATAAAAACAGGTGAGTTGTAGTGCTTTGTAGAACAAAGAGGTTATTATTATTATTGTTGTTGTTAGTCTGTTTCCAGTTATCCACAGGCACACTAGGACCCAAGAACATTGTTCTCAGGCCAAGGAATTTGAAGCAAAAGGTAATATGTGGAGCTTATCCCAGATTGAACTTCTCCCCAGAGCACAATTGCTAGATGGGGGATACATCTCTGCTTTGGGAGCCAAACACTAAGAGTAAAAGCAAATATTTGATGCTGGAGAGCTCTTAAGAACTGAAGAGTTCCATTTACTTATTTCTACACATCAGTGTGGTCTTAGGATGTTAAATAGATTAAAAGGCTAAGAGAGGTCAGTCACTCCAGGGAAGACTCTTCTGCTTCTGACTTGATTTTTCTTTCCAAAATTGTTATCTGCCCTACTCTCCTCCGCTGGAGGGTTCTTGGTAAGCTCAAAAGGTGACATACCCTCTCCTAGAACATTCTAGAGAAGGTGGAATCCAGTCCTGCAAACCAGAAACAGAGAAATGCAGGAAGGAAGGAGTCCAAAAGTCCCTTGGCAAACGCCATAATGAAGAAAAAAATCACAGGTGTAGGAAATTTCCAGAGAAATGATGTCTTAAAACTGGTGGATTCCTTAAAATGACCAAATCTATTCCTTTAGCACAGAGTGAGGTTCAGAGGAGTGGAGTGACTAGAGCTATCTAGAGTCAGTACTAGGATGCAAAGCGTTTCCACACTTGAGCAGCTTCTACTTGACGCAGCTTGGAAGTTCAGCCATTCTTTGTGACTCTGTCTGAAGGCTTTTCTAGAACCCTGTCCCCCGTCCCCCATCCCCCCTCAGGTCCCCGCCCCAGTCATGTCTGCAGAGAGGAAGGCCCAGTCATTTCAATTTAATCTTATTTAAAAAGACATAACTAATAAATCTATTGCCCGGGCCCGCAGAAAGACGGCCAGCAGAGTCGATCGTGTTCCCAATCCTATTGAACCCCATTGAAAACCATGACAACACAGGACAAGCTCCGATTTATTCCAGCGAGCTAAAGAGCATTGTGTGCAAACGTCAATCACGCATTATTCCCCACTGAACAAATGCAAAATCTTGACTGGAACAAACACTTCCAACAGGTCCGGGGCGTCGAGCTCCATTTCCCTTTTGTCCTCGGCCTAGCAGTTGTCCTGTATTGGGGGCGAGCCTGTGCCCGACCACCCAGCGCGCCGTGAAGCCCCGAAGGCTGGGGCGCCTGTGGGCACGCTCTGCCGGGGAGGAGACTGGGGGAAGGCTGCTGGTCTGGGCGGAGCCCTGTCCATACCTCCAAGTCAGGTTGGAGCTCGGCTCTTGGATTTGGGGGTGGTGGGCGCAGAGCTTAAGGCAGTTCCCATCTCTGAGATTTAGAAAGCGTTTGGGTTTCTAGCTGCAGGAGATGCAGTTGCTGAGCCGAAGCCTGGCCAAACCAGGCAGTGGGCCAACAGAATGTAACCACACCTGCGCCTCCTCCCATGGATCATTTTCTCTGCGGAGCTGTGGGGACCAGATTCTGCAGAAACACTGGCTGTTTTATTTATTTTTCCTTCTGCTGGGTGGGCCCCATGCGAATGAGCCCACTCTGGTATCCGGCCGGGGCAGCAGTGCCTATGTCTTCCAGCAGCTCAGGCCACTCTCTGCTAGACGTGACCCACCCGGCAGCCCTGGCACGGGGGTGGGGTGGGGAGCTGACGTTATAGGGCTGAGGTGCACAAATGACTCCAGGGTGTCTGGCGAGGTCAAGAAACTTCAAAGCCCTTGTTGGCTGCCCTAGGAAGCCCTACCACCCATAGGTCCCAGAATGGATGTGGCTTCAGCCTTGCAAAACTGGGCTACGGAGCCTACCCCAGACAGGTAGCAGTTATGCTAGGCAGTAAACTTCAAAACTGAGTAGCTTGACCATATTCTTGTATCGGTTTTGCCAGCCTGGGAAGATGGACAGGCACTGATCTGGAGCTCTACGCATACCCCCAAGTCTTTCCTTGTACCACCCTCCTCTCCCCACCGCCCCCTCCCCGTTATAAGGGATTGGGGGAGGGGCGGGGGGAAGTGTTGGGACATTCCTATACTCTTCAAAACTCTGGTCTCAGATTGCTGCGAGAGCAGACCACTGCTTGTTCCTAGAACGTCTGGCCTAGCATCCTTAGAGAGGGCTCTAGCAAAAAGAGAAAGGGGAATGTGCCAGCATTTAACGCTGTGATTTATAAATCACACTCTAGATAATTGCCAGAAACTCACACGCCAGCAAATAAACTCGAGGGATAAAACAAACAGGGAATAAATACCAGGAGCTCATAAACCTAGCCACGCTGGCCCTACCCGGCCCGGGGCTCCGCACGTCCGCCCCGGGGCGGTGGAGGAAGTTGGATCTGGGTCGGGAGGGTGTGTCCACCGCTCGCCACCCAAGATGTTATTCACTGGTAACAATCCCCATTATCTGTCCCCACTTTGGGCTAATCAGACAATCGCTAATGCCGAAGGCTGCTTCCTGCAGCCTCGGGGAGGGGGGGGAGTTAGGGGGGCCCGAGGGGTGGGGGACAGGGCGGGGCAGGCGCGGAGGTGGCACCTTCCGGACTAGTTCAGGCTTTGGTCCAGCACTCATTCAGGTACTTAACACCCTTGGAGTCTCAGAGACCTCGGCTTTGAAAACGGACCGGGTGGGAAGGGCTGTTTATATAAACAGGGATCCCGCTGGTAAATGCGCTAATATCCCTGCGGCCAGCACTGGGCGAGCGCCTCCCACGTCCACCGGTTGGAGCGGCGTCCCTGGCTGCCCCTCAATTCTCTCGGCCTTGCCCCCCCACCCCACCCCGTCCGGGTCTTCTCCAGCTCTTCGGCCATGGCCACCTCCGGACGCCTCAGCTTCACCGTGCGCAGCCTCCTGAATTTACCCGAGCCGGACGCACAGCTTCGGGGCAGGCAAGACTCTGAGCCACGCGTCCTCCAGGCCGAGCCCTGCGGCGCCTGGCTGGAATCTGAGCGCAGCCACTACCCCTGTGAGTGAGCGCAGCACTGCGGTGCGAGGGGAGGAGGGCGGCGGGGTGGGGTGGGGGGGAAACCAGCGCCCGACCTCCTCAAAGCCAAATACAGGTCGGGGTTCACCTATTCTGAGAGTAGATCATTGCACCTGGATGTGGGTTTCAAGGTGTTCTGGAGATGCTTAAGAATCAAATACTAAATATTTCTGTTCCTGCCGGTCCTGGGGCTTGAACTCGGGGCCTGGGAGCTGTCCTTGAGGTTTATATTTATTTATTTACTTTTTCACAAGGCTAGCGCTCTGTGGTTAGAGCCACAGCTCCACGTCTAGATTTTTGGTCATGAATTGGAGATAAAGAGTCTCACGGGCTTTCCTGCCCTGGCTGGCTTTGAGCCCTGATCCTCAGATCTCAGCCTCCTGAGTAGCTAGGAGCCTGGAGGCGCCTGGCTGGAATATTAAGGATTTGCCACACCTCCCTCACAGCCCCCCATCAAGGGCTTCGCCAGCCTCCGCAAACCGTGGCGCGGTCCACCTGGACCGAGGTGGCCCCAAGTCGCTGACCTCGCTTGGGGTCAACTGGTCCAGTAGTAGTAAACAGCGCAGCTACTGATGCAGCTGTTTTAAGGAAGCCCTCCGGGTGGATTTCTCTTGGGGGGCGAGATATCTCGGACTCGAGGGACGAGTGCTGTAGTATGGACGAGGTCACTGCGTCCAAAGAGGTGGTGATGCCAACTCATCAGAGGAAACAGCCCGGCTGGGAAAGCCGGGCGCCCGTGGGGACGCGGCGCTCGCGGGACGAGGGCTCCCCGACCCCGGTACTCGGAGGGGGTCAGCATCTCACCAGATCGGGGTTGTCTTTCCATGATTGTCATTATTTATCTTTCCATTCCTAGCATCGGACGAGAGCAGCGTGGAGCCCAGCCCTCTCGAGTCGTCGCCGCGGGCGTCGGATCGACCGGTATCTCCGGGCTGGGACGGTGAGAAGCGGAAGAAGCGGCGTGTGCTGTTCTCCAAGGCGCAGACCCTGGAGCTGGAGCGGCGCTTCCGGCAGCAGCGCTACCTGTCGGCGCCCGAGCGGGAGCAGCTGGCTCGGCTGCTGCGCCTCACACCCACGCAGGTCAAGATCTGGTTCCAGAACCATCGCTATAAGCTGAAACGCGCGCGCCTTCCGGGCGCGGCCGAGTCGCCCGATCTGGTCGGGGCGGTGGAGCTGCGCGCCGCGCCCGGCCTGCTGCGCCGCGTAATGGTGCCGGTGCTGGTGCACGACGCGCAGCCGGGCGGTGGTGGCGGCGGCGGCGGCGGCGGAGGTGACGGCCGGGACAAGTGCCGCGCGCCCCGAACCGCCGCCTGCCCTCTGCCCGGGTACACACCCTTCGGGCCCGGCTCTGCGCTCGGCCTCTTCCCGGCTTATCAGCACTTAGCGCCCCCCACTCTGGTCTCCTGGAACTGGTGAGGCCGCCGCGGGGTGTCTGGGATCCCCCACAGACTCCATGGACTTTTGTTCCCCCCGGTGCGGACGGCGCAGTGGGGCTAGATCCAAAGACTTGGACTGCTCCGGGGCCACGTCCCCGTAAGGTCCCCCCCCCCAACTCACCGTCTCCACCCGCGGGTCCCCTTGGTCTACCTTAACCAGCCGTCGCGAAAGCAAACGCGGGGAACGTTCACCGAGATGCCCCGTCTCCCCTTTCTCTCCTCAGTGCCGAATCCCAGAGCTAGATTGCATTGCTTAAGCCTTATTTGTATATTTTAAAATAGCGATTTGTATGAGGAACGACTTATTTTTTTTAAGAAATAGAATAACTTTTCTTCCTTTTTGTGGTGCGAGAATTAAATGTGTGCGTCGGTGCCGGGGCGCTCCTGGCCCGGGGAGCGTGGGTCATGAACTGGACTGGAGTTTGGAGCGCCCGCCCGCTCCTGGACCTGCTAAATTAGGGCCCACTGCCTCCAGTGGGCTGAAAGGAAGGTCGCAATGCCAATAGAGCACCAGGGGGGTTGTGTTCTGAGTGCGGTCTCTGGGATTTCCGGGGCAGGGGCGGCGGGGGCTGGGCAGAGGGGGGGGGAGGGATGGACTCGAAGAGCACTGGAGAACGCAGATGAGCAGATCGCCGGGAACACGCAGAGATCTACCTGGCTGGGCTGGGGATGCTGTGGGAGAGGTGGCACCGCTCCAAGGCCCTGGGGGAGACTATAGCACCTGCTGAATGGGAGCCATCTGCAGGAGACTTAGTGGCCCGATGTTGGGTGTGGGATCAGCAAGTATGCCTCATTTCACCAGGGCACACGAGGCTCACGGACTGGTGCACAACTGCCTCTTGCCTGCCAGGTTATCTGGAGCCGAAGGGAATGTTATTCGTTCAGTCATTCTTGGAAAAGTGATGGCCTTGCGCCCCAACCCCTGCACACACGCGCGCGCGCGCGCGCGCGCACACACACACACACACACACACACACACACGCACAAAGGCTCCCATTGCAGAAAGATGCGCGCTTGAGGTGAGCCGGCTTCAGCCCCAGTTGCAAGGACCAGAACAAAGACCCAAAAGAAGTCCGTGAAGGGTTGGCATCTGAGGGCAGGGCGTTTCCAACCAAGGAGGGGCAGTGTCATCACCTGGGATTTTAGGAGTGTTTAGAGCGTAGGGGGAAAGGGAGTGGAGTGTTTGGGTCTCAGCTGTCGGGCCACCTAGCCTTCCATATGGATGCGGTTATCTTAGAAGAATCTCGATCCTTAAACCTCCTTTTGTCTTGGGAACAGAAAGGGGTATTGTCGAGTCTGAAAAGGACCTAGACAAAATCCGCACTGTTTTGATTCAGGACTGTTTAATCAGTCCCTGGTGACAATGCAGTGGGTGTTAGAGAGGACAATAGTATCTTTTTAAACCTTGTGGCCTTCAGGAAGACAAAGAGCTTGAATTTTATGGGCTTACAACTTCAATTAGAACAGTGCCAACGTGCATAGGAGATTATCAAATTTGTATCATAAAACCCTCTTTTCTAATAAACCACTGCTAGGAGGGAGCCTGAACATTGTAAGATATATATGAGAAGCCACCAGAAGCTTCCGGGCAAACACTGGCAGAGCAGATGGAAAAGAAAAGGAGGAGAGGATTTCTGTGGAAGGCTTCAGTTGAGAGCTGTGGTCAACTGGGTGGGCGCTTGGCTTTTCCATGCTCTTCCTCCATGAATGGAGGTTAAAGAGTTGTTGCTTGTTTAATACCATTGTCACTAAAAACTGACATGCTGAATATCCTTGAAGAAGTTCAAAAGAAAGCCTTACCTGTTCCGTTCCTCACCTTTTCTTTTTCTAGAGCTCTGGAGAAGGTAGATCTGGGAGTGTGCAATATATATATATATATATATATATATATATATATATATATATATATAGCCTATTAAATTTGAGGCCCACAGGACTAAGGGATTACTTTACAGGAAGGGGTTTGTTTTTAAGAGAATGTATCCTCAATAAAATTCATCATAGTCCTAAATGGTAAGGGAGAGGCCCCTGCAAGGTAGTTAAGAGTCACAGCACCCATTCAATGAGCCAACAATGTCCTGGGCCTAATGTATGAACTGTGAGCCTTTTTCTTTTAGGCTGGGAAAGCCCATTAAGGAGGAGAAACCATCAGAGAGTGGAAAATGCACTTTCATCCCACTAATCCATTTTAGAGACCCAGGCGGCCATATTTTCTTCCTGTTCACACCTGTAATGAGCTGGGAGACAAATGTCAAATTTCCTTTGTGACCTAAAATGTCAATTCTGGGTTCTGACAAAAGCAGAAACCAAGACCTCTCTGCTAGCAGCTGTGAAGGCAGCGAGGCTCTCCCTTCCCAAAGGGAAGTATTCAGACCTGCCACCCATCCTCAGCCTCACATGGCAGATGCACCCCCCCCAGAAAACTTTTAGTGTAACTCAGTGTTCCCGTTATTTTTCTAGGCGCTTGCTCAGTTCCCAGCACAGAAACTTTATAGATACAATAAACCTGTATAGATATAATATCCTTCCATTGCATTGATAAGAAACTGAAGCTCAATGGATGGGGAACAAGTTACTTGCCCCAAATAGGTTAACTCACATTTAAAGAGTCTACAAGCTGCCATTAAGGAGGATGAATGTCATCTTGATGGGGTGGCAAGATATAATACTATATAAACGTCATAAGAAGAATGCAAGAACATGCCCGAAGTGCTCTATGCAACTAAGGACCAGTCTCAGAGACAGTTGCTAACACTTACTGATGTTACCCCACATAATAGTAAATTCATTTCTATTGTTACTGAGCATGTGTACTGAGCATATTCAGTCCTTACATCTCTGAGAGTTAGTACTTGTGCCTCTATTTTACAGTCAAGAAACAGAAGGTCAAAGGTTAGAAGTCACTAGTGGAGGATCATGCTGCTAGTGAATCCACACACAGTTGAGCTCCAGATCTTATGCGCTTAACCACAGGATGGTATTTATTTTCCATTCATGTTCTGTTGCTTTCCGTCGGTAGCCCTGGTTACCTCCTTCATAGATACTTCTCTAAATATGCTTTTTATTAAGGCATCTTTTGGTCTCTGTCTCTGTCTCTGTTCCCTCCATTCCACCCCATTTCTCACATCCCCAGCTTTGGGACACAGTCTCTGTGTTTCCTCTGGGTCTGTTTGTGTGCATTCTTGTTCAGCTGTCAATGAAACACGGCCCTTGTCTGTAGGTCACAATATTCTCCTGTGACTATCATTCCACCATTCTTCTTCCAGAAAAAAAAATATCTGCTACTGTTGCCTTGACACCAGTTGTCCACCTAGTGTTCACTGCTGACTCTAATACACTCCTCTAAGCTTTTCCTAAACCTCTTGGCCCAGATCTCTGCCAAGCTTTATGATTTTGGCTTTTTTCCAACCATCTTTTTTGCTTCCTAGGTTTCCAGTTATATCTTTATTATTAAATATCATCCTCTTCACATTTTCTCTTCTTCCATTGTAAACATTTTCACTTCATCTCACTTAAATCTCTTGTAGGTGGAGATTGCAATTTTCACTTCAATTTTCTTTCTTCATTGTTCAGAGGATCTCACATCTTAGCACATCTCTTGTCTGACCAATTTAGCACTTTAGTATCTTAGATAATGTGCTACTGATGGGTGAGAAGGAAGTTATTTGAGCCCAAGTTAACCTATACCTTCCTTTTCAACAATGATGTTTAGATGTTTATTGTTCTCTTGCATTGCTGGTACAATTGATTCGCCTGCTCTCTCTTTCTTTACCTTACACATACACAGACACTTACAGGCAGAGAGACATACCATTACCTTATAACATTTTAAACTTATGAATAAGATATATGAGCAGGCTGATTACAGGCTTTTAATAGTTTTAATTGAATAGTTTGTTAACTGTGTGTTATCTCTTTGGGGTATTTCAGCTAACCACCCTAAATATGATAGTCAAAGAAACTGAGACAGAACTATCCCTATCCCTGTCCTAGACCATAGCAATTTCTATGGGTGTCATTTTATCATTTAAGATTAAAGATCAACATCAGAAGTTATTTCCCTCAGGTTATTCAACATGTAAATGATGTGAATGACTCCTTGTTATTTTTTGAATTCCAATTCTGCCACCTGTTCACTGCTTTCTGATCCTCTTCCCCCCCCCCCACGAGAATAATTAAAGGTATTCCACATTCCTCTTTTTCCTTTATACTTACCAAGTGTCTTATGTAGTCTGTAAGTTCACAGAGAATTGAACAATCCCTTCAATGGTTTGCCACAGAATAGTGTTTTCAATTTAGAAGGAGGCCAGGAAGAACTGCATAGGCTAGTCAAAAATCAAGTTCTCCTTCTACCCCAACTGCTTTCCTCATCTACTTCAAATTTTCAAGCACAGAGATTCCCATCTCCCCAATCATATCCAGTAAAGAAGTTTTAGTATTTATTCAAGGAATAGCAAAAACAATTCGAGGCAGAAGATAATTTTGTTCGCAATAACCCTATGGGCCAATTAAAAACAATCTCTGTCTACACTAAGGTCATGTAATCGCAAAGCTGCTATAGTCTCACATAGCTTCTGTGAGCAGAGTGATGGAAGGAACATCTGAGGGGCTTTGGTCATGCTTAACTTCCTCCTGTATTCTGACTGGGTGGTCCTTTATGAGTCAACAGTTTTTCAAATGCTTTTTCTTAGCTAAAAGCTCTGAATTGGAGGGTTTCTCTTTTCTGCTCCTAATACCAATTGCTCTGTCATTCTTTTCTCTCTTCCCCTTCTAGGGACGGCAGAGGATATTTGGAGGAAGTCATTGGGAGGGGAATGGATGCTGTTTACAAATTAAACTGGAGACAAAAATGTTGAGGAAATCCACTGAAGGCCCTTGAATCTCTCACCCAAGATATGGCATCCTGTTCCATCTTCTTCCTCCAACCTTGCTGAAAGAGAATGAGGAAACAGCAATTCTTCCAGCCCTAAAGCAATTAT